GGCTGAGAAGAATTCGTGAAAGATCACTAGCTTTATTAAGAGAAGAGATAAGTTGTTATTTCTAGTTAAATTCACTCATTCTCAAATATGGATTTTTGCATTATGCTTAAATGCACTAAGTAAGATTCTAGAAAACTGATATGTTACCTGATTGGATACTTTTAACGGCGGTGCATGTATGTTTACAGGATCTGATTTAAAAAATTGTGCTGCGTCTTCCCATGCTGCGGGCTTCGTAGAGTATTTTAACTGCAACAATTTCTCAGGATGCATTTCATCCCCCAAACATACCCGAAAGTTCTCACCACTTTTTCCACCTGTTCTTTCGTCTCCCAATCGTATGGATCTGATGGTTTTGTACCAAGCCTTTTCATAAGTGCTACTAATCCATCATAAAACATACTAAATTATAGAAAATTATTTAAGCTGCATAAAACACTTGTTCATTTGTGGATCACATGAGATTGATATCACGTAAATAATGTTTACCTGTAGTCTGGCCGCTGATAGCAGTCCAAAGTTCTTAAGTATGGGACAATGTCACGCAGTTCAGCTGAATCACGAACTTTGCTTCAAACTCACATAAAATTCACATTTTATTGATATGAAGGCTAAAGTTGTACGGGACTTCTTTAAGAACAAAAGAAAAGTTCTCAATAGAAAGTATAATGTCAGGAGAATCGCAACGAAAATTGAAGGTGATGGTTATTTCTCGGTATCTGCCCTTGCTTTTCCATACAATAGAGTAAAGGCTGCACGAGGAACAAATAACTGTGAGAAAATCATAATGGCCAATTAGGCAGGGGCTGTTTCCGCCTATTACGCTAACGAATATCTCAAGAAGCTCATTTTATACGGAAAAAGTTTTTGAGGAATGCGTAAAGGAGAACGGAAAAAAAGGAAGAATATTGTGTAAAGGAAAACATGCGCACACTCAGAGTACTGTATATCTAAGCTGCGATCTTTGCGGGGAGAGCTAGCTTGGAGAAAGCAGGAGTCTGCTATATGACCCTAATTCGTCTATGAGGGTAGTTTTTTTTTAATAAAGAATCGCATTCTGAGACCATAATGAAGAAATGACCAAGTTCACGGTGAAATTCCGCTTTGATAGAAACTTTGAAGGGCAAAATAACAGTGTTTACAATGAAAAGATATAGGAGCTTAAAAAAAGAGGAAACGGAAAC